CCTTAAAACTAACTTCATGTAATTCAACTATTTTTAATTATATTATAAGTAGAATTCTATCTTGTTTTTATATTTATTATAAGCTTTTTACTAGATTATCTTTAAATATACAGTCAACCCTCTCTAAATGCACCCTTTGATTCTATATGCTTGGGACTAAATAAGAGCATACATTTAGAAAGAATATATATAGTGTATGCATTTAGAGAGGATTCACTGTAATAATAATTTTAGTTATATAAGTTTTTAGCAAGATTTTTAATATAAATCTTTTATTTACTTATAATAAATTAAAAAGAAAATTATTATTATTTAATTAAAATATTAGAATTAATTAATGTTAACTATTTATTATATTAGTATTTTTTTACATTAGATATGTATTTTTTTTTTAAAAATGCGTTATCTGATAATATAAAAAAATATTCTATACTATATGAGAAACACTTTCTTTTGAACGAAGTTCATTTAACTTTTTTGGGCTTTAAATTGATGATCGGAAAAATTCATTGGGAAACAATTTTGTTGATCGGAAATCTTTGTTTCTTTATCATAGAACAAAGCATATTGATTAAAAAATAAAAGTTGTAAATTTACACAACAATGAATTCAAAAAAATCATCCAAACCGTTTGGATTTGGGTTTTCACATTCTGGATCTGCAAATAAATCCAAATCGATTCTTGAATCTGAAGATCAACAGCGACAAAAGCCACCTTCTCTTGATTACTTTTCTGACGATGAGACACAACCCAAAAAGAGAAAATTGATTAAACTTGACGATCCTTTGGAAGAACAGTTTACTACTTCAAGTAATAAATTGGATGACTATGATTTGAACAAGGATTATGTTGGCAATCTGGAGGACGATAAACCACCACCACCTCGAACTTCAACAGGTTTTACACAGTTATAGCTTTAGCACATGTGTTTAAAAAATTCATGCTAATTTTGTTCCTGCATTTGCATGATAGGAATTCAAGGTTTCGTGCCCCAGGGATATGGATATAATGTTGATAAAGAGGTTCAAAGCAGTCGAAACATTAAGTCTGAGGTCCAAGTAAATGCGATGGAAGAAAATGATCCATTAGACGCTTTCATGTTGGATATCGATAATCAAGTTCAGAAAGAAAGTCTCAATAAATCTCAACAAGAGAAAGTATGATATGCGTGTATATATATATATATATTTTTTTTTAAAAAAAAAAACCACTGTATAAATCAGAATATCCATAAAAATTTTCGATTTATCAATGTGTAATTATAAAACAGTTTAGACGCGATGACATTGAAGATGAAGATTTTGTAGAAAGTTATGTTAATCATATGAAAAAGAAAGGCATTGAGGTTGGAAAAAGCCAACGTCCAATCGAAAAAGATGAGGTATGCTTTCCGTTAAAAAATTCAATAATATCTTTGACTAGTCAATCATTATACAAATATTTATATTTTAAATTAGAATGCTAATTCAGATGAAGAGGTCTATGCTACTGCTCGAGCCATTGACGCGCAATACGAGTAAGCTTCAAATAATGGAATTTTTAAAATTCGCTCATTTATTGACTGAATTTTCTATCTATTATTTCTTTCTTTTCAGATATGATTCAGACGACAATCCAGTAATAGAACAAAAGCGTAAAGATATAGAGCCACTTTCAGCTGTTGGTAAAGAATTTTCTTAGCACTTATCTCATTTTCAATTGCAAGGATAAACTAATAAGTAAGTTGTTTATTTTGTAGACCATTCTCAAATGGACTATCCTGAAATTGAAAAATTCTTTTATGAAGAACATCCTGATATAGCCAATTTGCCTAAAGAACGTGTTGATCTAATACGAAAAGAACTTGGTAACTTTTATTTATTTATTTGATTTTATTTTAATTAGTTGGCAGACAAAGAAATAATAATACTCAAAATATTTTTACTATGATAATTCAATATAGATATGCATGTTTCGGGAGCTGACGTTTCAAAACCTTGCATTTCATTTGCTCATTTTGGATTTGATGATGCTTTATTAGATGTTATTATTAAACTTGGATATTCAGACCCTACTGGGATTCAAAAACAGGTATCTCGTATTCTATTCGAAATATATCACGTTTTCATCTCATGTATATTTGTTTTAGGCAGTCCCTGTCGCGTTATCAGGTCGAGATATTATAGGCATTGCGAAAACAGGTTATACATGGCACTTTTTTATTTCTAACCGATTCCATGATTAGTTTACTGATTTAGAGGTTTGATTTAAGGTTCCGGTAAAACTGCAGCTTTTATATGGCCGATGTTAATACATATAATGGATCAGGAGGAATTGTCTAAAGGTAAACCACTATAATCCTTCATATTGTTGATATTAAAACATGCACTTTATTTTTATTTATTTTTTTTTTAAAAAAAAAATTGACACTACATAATTTTAGGTGAAGGCCCTATCGGATTGATATTAGCACCTACAAGAGAGCTTGCCAGTCAGATATATATTGAAGCTAAAAAGTTTGCAAAGGCTTATGGTCTGAGGTAGAAATTAACACTATAAATTTTATCTCATGATTGGTAGAATGGAAACATAAGCGATGCACACACTACTCTCTATGCTTGATTTACACAAATGTAGAGTTGCAGCAGTTTATGGAGGTGCTTCGAAAATGGATCAATTTAAAGAACTGAAACCTGGTGGAATTGAAATCTTAGTCGGTACTCCTGTAAGCAATGAAAATTTTTATGTAAAATTGCAAGGATGAAAAAAAAAACTTATAATCTTTAATTTTTTAATAGGGAAGACTTATCGATATGGTGAAAATGAAAGCGACAAATTTTCGACGCGTTAGTTTCTTAGTCCTTGATGAAGCCGACCGTATGTTTGATTTGGGATTTGGTAAGTAATTTTTTGTAATTATTCCTTTTCTGAATTTATAAATTATGTTCTAGTAAGATTGAATATAAATATATTTATTAGAGCCGCAAGTGCGATCTATTTGCGACAATATTAGGCCAGATAGGCAAAGTATGCATAAAAATTACATATAATTCGTTCTTTTTAATTTTATATCACACTTTTCAACTTGAATTAATATTTCATAATTTCTTTAGCATTGTTATTTAGTGCCACATTTCCTAAAAAAGTAGAGATCCTAGCCCGAGAAGTGACAACAGAACCTGTGAGAATTTCGATTGGATATGTTGGACAAGTACAATTTAATTATTTTATAGATTTATCATCTTTTTACTATACACGTCATCTCATTTTTTTTATCATTTTAAGGCAAATACTGATATAACTCAAATTATCGAAGTTTTAACTGATGATGGATATAAGTGGGATTGGTTAATTACACGCTTAGCTTCGTTTTGTGTTGGTAAGATATCAAATCTTATTTATTTGGAATTAAATCTTACTAAAAGAATTTTTTCGTTAAAGATTTACAAATTTATGTTTATAATATTATGTATTAACTTATTAAATAAAAAGAGGGGAGTGTACTCATTTTTGTTAGTAGGAAAGGCGGTGTTGATGAATTATCCTTAAATCTGCAACAGTCAGGATTCGATTGTAAGTGCTTAATAATTTTTTTTTTAACAATCTTACATTAAAACTTTTAACTAATTAATAATATCTAATAGGTGGCGCATTGCATGGTGATATGATGCAGGCTGACCGTGATAAAATGTTGAGAGACTTCAAGAATAACAAATTTCCTATCATGGTTGCTACCGATGTAGCTTGTATGTGATTACATAGTTCAAATATGTATTGTTTTAAGGTTTTTCTTATTCTATATTTTTGTATATATATATATTTTTTTTATTATAGCGAGGGGTCTTGACATAAAGGCCGTTAAGACTGTAGTAAATTACGACATTGCAAGGGATATTGATTCGCATGTACATCGTATTGGTAGAACCGGTAGAGCTGGTATGTTGCTAAATTTCGAATGTAAATAAGATTAATATGATATTAACTTCAATAATAACTCAGGTGAGAAGGGTATAGCATACACACTCATTACCAAGAAGGAAGATAAATTTGCAGGAGATTTAGTAAGAAATTTAGAATCCTCTGGGCAAGTTGTTCCAAGTTCATTAATGGATCTGGCGATGCAGGTTAATATTGACTAGTTTGTATTAAAATATTATGAAATTAAATTTAAAAACTAATTTCATTTAATAATAGAACGCACGGTTCAGAAAGTCGAGGCAATTGATTCGAGGAGGACGTGGCAGAAGTGGTCGTGGTAGAGGTCGAGGTCGTGGTCGTGGAAGTTATTAGCATTGTTTGATTTATAATATTTTCGAATAAATTTGTTAAAAATGATATTTATTTAGGTCGAGGATCAGCAGGTTCCAGTTCGAATGCCATTCCACTAGGAAGTGGAAGAGCCGGAATTGGATCAGTAGGTTCACAGATACCTCCACCACCACAACTTAGCACCACTAGTAATAGATCTGGCCGTAATAATGCAGCTGGTTTCCAATCGAAATTTCAAGTGAATTTTCAAAAAGCTTCTTCATCTGAATCCGAGTTAGGGTTATTACGTTCTAGCAACACAAGTTCCTCATCGAATTCAACAACTTCACCTAGTGTACCTCAACAACGTAAAAGACGCTGGGATTCATAATGTATACTTTTCTGTTTATTTCAAAAAAGTCGAAGATTAAACTCGTAAAGCTTAGTAATATAACAATCTTTACCTTTCTTTATATTTGAATATTTATTTTTTTTTTTAAAAAAAAAAAAAATTCAATATTTATTATGTTCTATAACAATAGTATACAATGTTATATTATACAAATATTCAATTCTATATTAAATATTGAAATCGAAGAAATAATTACTTATAATAAAGTCCGTTAATTTTGCATATATTTAATGAAATAAATAAAAAATAAATAAAAAAATGCATAGAATATTTACAAAAAAAGACTTTCAGAAATTGCTTATTTTTTTTTAATTTTTTCTTTGGGAGAGGGGGGGGGGGGGCTAAAGATATTATTAGCAATTAATCTTTTTCCAAATGATAATTATCAGTTACTACTGCAACCAACACACTAACATCATCTCTTTTACCTCCTGAGTAATATAAACCTTCTTGCATAGCACGAGATTGAAAAGGAGAAGGAACATTAATATCTTTACTTGCATTTTTTGCTTTCCAAGCCAAAGTATCACTTATAATTTGAGGATCAACCTTTAAACCACTTTGTCTTTGACAAAAGAATTGTGTAATTTCTTCAAGTATATCTTCTTCAAATAAATTATCAAAAATACCATCGCTACCCATAATAATTATATCACCATGTTGAATTTTAACAGTGAATTGTTGTGAATCTTGAGGAGTATCATATGAACTTGTTCCTAATTAAGTAGGGTTGAAGTGTGGTTGAAGTGGGACCATAAAAAATATAGTAAATTTTGTTAATGAGTAGATGTATAGTTAATGTAGGGTTGAACTCGGGTTGATTTGCAGACGATGTATATGTGTATAAATTTCTAACCTAATTGATAAGGATAATTGAAAGAATGTTGCTGTTCTTCAGTTTGAAATATAAAATCATTATAACGAATCACGCCTATACCACAATCTCCTAAATTGGCTATCCTTAATTCATCTTCTCGTAATACTGCAATTAATGCTGTTGATGATCCAATGATTCCCTTTAGTAATTCAAGAAAAAAGATTCTTCTTTAATCATTTAATATAAGTTTTTTTATTTAACAGTAATTGATAAAATAAGTACCTTTAATGTAGAATCTTTAACAACTTGATCATAACTTGTTTGTAATATATCAACAGGATTAACTTCGTTATAATGATAATATTTCTCATCATCAATATTATCATACCTTTCAAGTTCTGCAAAAGAATAATGCATCAATTTACGAGAATATAAAGCTGAATCCGCAACTAAAAATTTTTTTTTTTTAAAAAAAAAAACAAATATATATATATTTTTTTTATTAGCGAAATATCAAATAAAGAAAGAAAGAAAGAAATTATATGGATACATGACTTTTTAATCCAGATTCATATTTTTTATTTTAGCCTGTTATAAATTTTACTTAATGATGTCCTCTTTATCTTTGAAAAAAAAAAATAATAATATAAAATAAAATAAAGTATATGATCAAAATAAAATCAATTACCAGCATTACGTAAAGGAGCAACATTACGCCAACCACCAACTCCATCAGCTACACCCAAGGAATCATATCTCACAAAAAAGCTATCCTCTCCACATCCTACACTATAATATTCTCCATCATTCTTGGTTGTAATTAATTTTTCTGAATGTTTTGGAATACCAGATCCACCATGATTTAATATAAATGAGTTTCTTTTAGTAATAGAAAGTGGTTTTTCATAAAAATCTATTATAGAAGAGTGATTTTGATGACTTGTTGAAATAGCTGTTGAAGTTGAAGACGTTCCCGTAGTCGAAGTTGGTTTATTAATTGACGTTGTGGAATCAAAAAATTTTTGTGATTTTGAGGAATGTGGTTTAAATGCTTTTGTTGTTGACAAAAAATTTTTTGAAAAAGAATTATTAAAATATCTCTTTTTATTATATATTTGAGGGGAAAGAATGAATGATGGTTGATTCAAAAAAATTTTGTTAACAGGTGGTAATGCTGAAGTAAAAAATGAACGTGCTAATGAACCAATTTGTGATGTATAAGGAGCATGACATGATATTTGATTTTTAAGTAAATTTCTTGGTCGAATTGAGGAGTATAATGTCTTTTGAAGTAAGTATGTGGTAAATTTTATTGATTTCTTCATTCGAAATATTGCCTTACTTTAAAATAAAATAAGAAAATATTAAAAATTTTTCTTAGAAAAAAAAGAATTTATATAATGCAAATAAAAGTACCTTGGTTTTGCGGTAAACATAATACTTTGACCTTACAAAATTAAAAAAAAAAAAAAAGCATAAAGGTTGAAATTCGACTAAAAGACACGTAGAGAACGCGTAAAATTTACCAGCAAAAAAAATTAATTATAACTCAAAGTAAAAAAAAAATCAAAAATTATATAGATATCAAAAGAATTATTTTTTTTTTTTAATGAAAAAAGTCTAACGGGTAGGGAAGGTATTTCGGTTATCTCTCGATCTAAAATATTTATAAATATTTATTTATTTTTTTTTTTTTTTTACCCAAAATTTTTATGAAATGATAACAATGTTACACACAATAATCGTTTATCAGATAAAGCATTTGAATCACGAGATTTCTAACAAACATTTAAATTATTTTATAGGACTTTTATCCGGTTAAACTCTCAAAGCAAAATTTGGTTGAGAATGTACGTGCATTAAGAAAAAGTTCATAAAGCAAAATGTAGCAAGATTTGCCTAGAATCGTAAAAAAAAAAAAAAAAAATTTTTTTAATCATATTCTTCATCATCTCCAAAGTCTGATCTACCTCTTAATCTACTGTCATCTTCAGCATCACTAATATCCCTCAAATCTTTGTCATGATAATTTAATTCTTCATCTGATAAATCGGCAGAGCCTCTACGAGAGTCTTCGGGTTTGTTCGCTTGTGAAGCGTCAACCCATTCATAATACACATCAACAGGATCACTTAACGCTAAACAATAAAAATATAATTAATTCACTCTTTATAATATAAAACATAAAGAATAATAGGAAATCTTACGATTAATTGGCGATTGAAATTTAATACCACATAATCTACAATTTAAATTACCAACTTTTGCGTCTCGTTGCCTGAATAAATTCAGAATTTTAGTTTAATTGTTTTTTTATTAAGCTCGCGATATGGAAACCTTGGCTATCTTACATTTTAACGTCAACGCATTTCTCGTTGTTACAAGCAATACAATCAAACTGAGTATCAAGCACCAATTTTTTCTTTGGCGCTGGCTTCCTTTTAGTTTTACGTTTACCCATGTCTATAAAGTCTGGATTATTCGATTGAGAATAAAGAAAAAATTCTAAAAATCAAATAAATCAAATAAATTACTATTCTATTCTATTCTATTAAATAAGAAACAAAAAACAAAGTGTATCATACAATATTTTTAAATTAACGAGTAAGGAAAAAGAAATTTTATAATCTTAAAAAAAAGGTAAACAAAAAAGGAATATACCTATATCTCGTTACACGAAAGACCAAAATTATTTGCGATTTTTATTGGTTGAATTTTGTAAGCATCACAAAATTTACAAAAATAGAAAGATGAGTTTTTGGGCTGATCTATAATAAATATTCGTACTGTAATATGACAAAATTTTTATTTAACCCCGTATATAACGCATATATATATATGCTAATAAAATAATGAAACATATTAAACTTTCATAACTATATATATTAAACACTGGAATTTTAACATATTTTTGCATAATATCTATACTGTTTACATTTTTCCTTTAGCTTCATCTACATTAAAGTTATTATTTATGACATTAACTTATACATTATCCTTTAACATTTATTTACTAGATCTATTAATAAAGTTGTTTTAACACTTGACTTAAGTCTTTTTGATAGCCATTCTTTATATTAAGTAATAATAAGATTATTGACAACAGTAGATTTCATTTAAGGATACAAACATTTGCTAGAGTTATAACTCAAGTTATATCTTTAATAAGTCACAAAAATGTTATAATTCATGTGATTATTTTCAATATAATCATATGCCATATAACTTATCATATATCATATAACTTTTATATATTATATGCTAATTCTATTTATTATAAATGCTAAATGCTATATGCTATATTATTTATATTCATTAAATTAGTAAAAATAATAAATTTAAATCAAAATGTTATTTTTCAATTTTATTATCAAAATTAAACTAAAAAAAAAAGAAATTAAAATTAAAATTCAATTTTAAGATTCTTGAAGAAAAGTATTAACCAATGCTTCTGAATCATAATTTAAATTAAAAAGATTTAAAATATTATTTTGATCATCATCTTCTTTTTCTTTACTATATAATTCATTATTATTAGTATTAAAAATTAGT